TATACTTATGTTTTGAAATTTCACTCTAATTTATATGTATATGTGTTATATATATATATATATATATATATATATATATATATATATATATATATATATATATATATATATATATATATATATATATATATATAATAATTGACGGTTTATTGAAAAAGTTCTGCAGCCCGAAGGCTGAAAATATACGTTGGACATAAATGACTTATTACATACATTGGTGGTTTAACAAAAGCCTTCATTAGAGAAAGGTAACGGAACATACAGTGAACATACAGATTATTGTAGGTGTTGAACAGCAAACACGTAGTGTAGTAACTCCCTCCCAGATGGTGTTAGGAGGGACCTCACGTGGTGTAGTAGTTCCCTCACAGATGGTGTTATGAGGGACCTGACGTGGTGTAGTAATTCCCTCACAGATGGTGTTATGAGGGACCACGTGGTGTAGTAATTCCCTCACAGATGGTGTTATGAGGGACCTCACGTGGTGTAGTAATTCCCTCACAGATGGTGTTATGAGGGTCCTGACGTGGTGTAGTAATTCCCTCACAGATGGTGTTATGAGGGACCACGTGGTGTAGTAATTCCCTCACAGATGGTGTTATGAGGGACCTGACGTGGTGTAGTAATTCCCTCACAGATGGTGTTATATGAGTGAGGTGTGGTCCCAGGCCTTCCTATCGTAGACGGATTAACACATCGCTGGTTGTGTTGGGTCTCACGGGCCGTTATCACTGGGTACCTGGGACCTCACTGTGTGAAGGTTAACTTGGGTACGACTGTTACTGTTGAGTTGTTCTCACTGACTTAAGCACTGTTCACCTCTGTTTAACACTGGTTCCATTCCTTTCCTAAATGAAATTGTAACTTCTGGCGAGAACTTGTTGATATTTCGGTGGGGAGGAGGGTTCAGGGGAGGGAGTTGGTATGGGCCAACTTAACAGTTGACCTGGCTGCTCCGAGAGGAGCGCCAGGTACGTCTTGACCCTTCGGTGGTCAAGGATATATATATATATATGTGTGTGTGTGTATATATATATGTATATGTATGTATAAATAAATAAAAAACAAAAAGTAAAATAAATAAATAAAAAGTACAAATAATAAAATAAATAAACATTGAAGTGATAACCGTGGTAACATTATGAGATGTACTTATTACCACCATGTTATTGTACTATTCCAGATGATACTAAATGTTACATGATACTTCCTTGAGATAAATGTACTGTATATTGTAGTATATATCAGGTGCCTCAAAGAGAGCTCAGGTTCTCAACTGGCTCAGCCATGTTAATATTGTTATTATTATCCACTCTGTATCTGTATTTTTCTGGCTAAATATAATGTTTCAATCAATGCCTATATCAGTAAAACAGACAATGTTCCTTAACTCATGTATTTCGATCAAGCCGCTCTACTCTACCATCTCAGGTCACGCGCGCGCGCGCACACACACACATCTCACGTTCCTAGCTCCAGTACATGTCCATATCGCTTGTACAGACATTTCCTCTACGTACACTCGCCCGCCAAAGAAGTATCTTTACGGTTCTGTGTGGGACAATATGACACAATTCATAGAACCACCTCAATAAAGATACTGTATATTTTGAGGGTCGAGTTTAAATGTTATCATTCATCATCTCGACGCTTTCTCAGCTCTGATTACAGCTTCATCCCTTCTCAGCCACGTTCCTTCACCTAACCTAACCTAACCTAACCCAACCCAACGTAGGCAAATTATAAAATATTTCTTGGGCAGCAGGTCGCCACACCTGAGCACGGCCAACATGTGCCTTGTAGAGTGCCGCAGCTGTCACCTACACCCATCTTACCTACCTGTACTTAAAAATCGTTGAGTCAGAGTTTTAGAGAAGATTGATTCGGCACGAGGAAGGAAGGGGGTGTGGCGGCGGCATCTGTAGGATTATGGTATAGACTGAGGTTGTGGGTGTAGTGGAGGGGGGCTGAGGTTATGTGGGGTGTAGTAAGGGGTGGGAGAGCGTATACACACATCAACGGGGGGGGGGGGAGGGAGAGAGGGAGGGGAGTCAACTGGTACACAACCTGTTGGGTGGCCCTCAAGACACTCGTCGCTTGGCTTTACAACACTACAAGGTCTCCAGTAGTATTCTGAGGCAGCTTCACTCCGCCTCACCTCTCTCTCTCTCTCGTGTTAAACACCACCAACCCACCTATTGAACTGAACTAACTCAGCTTGGCAAGGCAGGGATGGGGAAGGGTAAACTGGACACGCGAGGGGTGGGGAGGGGAGGGGTTGAACCAAGCACGCGCCAGTGAGCCTGTACGTGCAAGGTTGGTGGTGGGTTGTACTTGACGCGCGCGGCGGTGCTGGGGATGAACCTAACGCTGAAGTGTTAAACTTGGTGTGTGGGCAGGAGGGGGAGGGGAGAGCCGCGCACACGTCGGAAGTGGGGTGGAGTGAATAACAGTCGCGTGTGGATGGTGGCGTTGAACGTGACACTTGCGCTGGGTGATCCTGACACTATGGGGGTGAACCTGGCACTCCCGCTGGGGGTAAACGTTGATAGCGCGGGGTTCACACTTGGCAGGGTGCGTCTTGCTGAGCCCTGGGTCGGGGGACGGGTGGGGTACATCTCCGTCTGGGGAAATTTGTTATCGGCGAGGCGGTAGGCCGAGGACCACCCGTCGGCTGGGTACGTTTCCATAGCAACGCTCCCACGCTCGCGCGCCCCCGCACACTGCCACCTTCCTTCCAGCTCCTCTCAGATACACACACACACCAGCACGTACACGATGGCACCCTACGTACACGATGCCACTCACCGTTCTCCAAACGTTCTCCATACGGACTCCCATCAAGTGAGGCAGAGTGACCCCTCACACACAGAGTAACTGGTGGTGGCGGCGCACTAAAACACTGCCAGGGGGTCACCATACAATATTTACCAGAGCGACATATAACGCTGCGTGTGTAGCTGGACGCACCTCGGGCACCCCCAGCCCATATAAATCAATGAGGTGGCAAGCAAAATCCCGGAGATATGGATGGCGATCGATTTGCTACGGGAAGGTTGGAGGAGCGGCGGCGGCATCAGTGTTTGTGTTAAGGCGGTGCACACGGCCTGGTGAGGGGGGGGGGTCCAGGGTGTCACTGCCATTACTGCTGCCAGCGGTGGAGGCACGGCGACCCACACACCTGCACACTATCCCCCCATCCTCACGCTCTACACGCCACCCACAACACGGTGTTCTCGCCTTACACAACACTAGAGTACAGTACACCTCGAGGTACCTCGCTAAGTCTGTTTAAAAGATCATTCACTTTATGCGGGAGTGTTGTCAACTACACACTGTTTATCGCCGAGCACTGACCTCCCTTTATTAAGTTCTTGGACGACGACACATACGAGGATGCCAGGGAGACGTGAGTGTCAGGTGGGAGCGCCACAGCTTCATTCATAAACATGCCGACTCAGCAACACACACACACACAAACTTTGCCAGGCACGTGATGACAAAATTGAGTCTTGTAGATACTGTATGTGTCTGTATGTATGTGTTGCCACAGCCTGGAAGTAGACAGTGTTACAACGTGCCCCCTTCCGTCATGGCCTATCACTGCCTTGGGTTAACTAACTACAGTCTTTACCACAATAAACCAGAACTAACACAATTTACAGTTTGCTGTTATCTTAAGGTTAACTGTGCAGTATCACAGTAAGTATTTGTCTCTGTTATGCACTGATACAAGTTATGAACAGGTGCAGTGCTCAGGTAGAGGTGAGGAGTGCCCAGGTGTGGCACATAATGCCAGTAACCCGGCACCACTCTGCTTACCGGGCCGGGGTGTTGTGGGGTGGCGTTCAACATGTGAGTTATTAAATCATTATGTGCCTCCTGTGAGGTAGGAATCGGAGGGCCTTAGGTGCCAGCACTGGCTCACCTCACCTCGTGTATACCATTATACTATGATGTGTCATGTGCAGGTGGGGCGGGATCAATAAGTGTTCTGACTGGCACCTAATGTCAAGGCATGAGGGGCGTGGTGAGTGTTAGTGGTGTAAGGGAAGGAGAGAGTGAGGGGCCTCACTGAGGGATCAATAACATTAACGGAGTGATAACATTAAGCAGGGTGGTGGGCCCTAAGTTGGTGGTACGGGAGGAGCGGGATCATTATGTGAGTGCGTGCGTGCGTGCGTGCGTCGCCCAGGGTCCGCCTCGCTGCCTGATGGCGATGGCAGCGGCGGCGGCGGCGGCAGGAAGGCGGGCGAGGGTTGGAGCCTAGTAGTCTGGAGTCGCGGCCGCCGCCTCCACCATGAGACAGGTACGGTACGTTTCCGGGGCAACGCTCCTCAGCCGCCCGGCACAACAGGTCAGAGATGCCGCCAACGTCGCCACCGTGATGCTCGCGCTCCTCTCCCTCTCACCCTCCCTCTCTCCTCACCCTCCCTCCCTCTCTCCTACCGCCTGGGCCTCCTCCTTCAGCCCCGCGCCCACAACCACGCCACCGCCGCGCTTCCCACCGTACTCCTTTGTTAGCGGCCACTCTCTCACGCCCACCTCCCCTACACCTTCAAGCACATCCCACACTACCACTACCACAATTATCCTCCCCTCTCGCCTCACACTTAGTCGCCTCCACCACAACTAGCAATTTACTCCTGTCACTCACATCAACAAAGGAGCATCACCCACTAACACCTGCACGTCTCAACCACCCAAGACTACGACAGTGCCACCACCCAAGACTACGACAGTGCCACCACCCTAGACTACGACAATGCCACCACCCAAAACTACGACAGTGCCACAACCCAAGACTACGACAGTGCCCCACGACACCAGTGCCACCACCCAAGACTACGACAGTACCACCCTAGACTACGACAGTGCCACCACCAAGACTACGAGGTGCCACCACCCTACGACAGTGCCACCACCCTAGACTAGAGTGCCACCATCCGAGACTACGACAGTGCCACCACCCAAAACTACGACAGTGCACCACCAAGACCATGACAGTGCCACCACCCAAGACTACGACAGTGCCACCACCCAAGACTACGACAGTGCCAACACCCAAGACCATGACAGTGCCACCACCCAAGACTACGACATGTGCCACCATCCAGACTACGACAGTACCACCATCCGACTACGACAGTGCCACCACCAAAGACCATGACAGTGCCACCACCAAGACTAAGACAGTGCCACCACCCAAGACTACGACAGTGCCAATCCAAGACTACGACAGTGCCACCATCCAAGACTACGACAGTGCCACCATCCAAGACTACCATCCAAGACTACGACATGCTATCACCCAAGACCATGACAGAGCCACCACCCAACTACGACAGTGCCACCACCCTGAACTACGACAATGCCACCACCAAGACTACGACTAACGACAGTGCCAACACCCAAGACCCAGACGGTGCCACCACCCTAGACTAAAGTGCCACCATCCGAGACTACGTGCCACCACCCAAAACTACGACAGTTGCCACCAAAGACCATGACAGTGCCACCACCCAAGACTACGACAGTGCCACCCAAGACTACGACTTGCCACCACCCAAGACTACGACAGTGCCAACACCCAAGACCATGACAGTGCCACCACCCAAGACTACGACATGTGCCACCATCCAAGACTACGACAGTACCACCATCGACTACGACAGTGCCACCACCCAAGACCATGACACCACCCAAGACTACGACAAAGCCACCATCCAAGACTACGACGGTGCCACCAGACTACGACAGTGCCACCATCCAAGACTACGACAGTGCCATCACCCAAGACCATGACAGAGCCACCACCCAAGACTACGACAGTGCCATCACCCAAAGACCATGACAGTGCCACCACCCAAGATACGATAGTGCCACCACCCAAGAATACGACAGTGCCACCACCCAAGAATACGACAGTGCCCACCACCCCACCAGACTACGACAGTGCCACCACCCAAGACTACAGACAGTGCCACCACCCAAGACTACGACAGTGCCACCACCTACGACGGTGCCACCACCCAAGACTCCACGACAGTGCCACCACCCCTCTACGACAGTGCCACCACCCCGATCACGACAGTGCCACCACAACACTACGACAATGCCACCACCAAGACTACGACAGTGCCACCACCCATTGACAACGACGGTGCCACCACCCAAGACTACGACAGTGCCACCACCCAAAACTACGAGTGCCACCATCCTAGACAGTGCCACCACCCAAGACTACGACGTGCCACCACCCAAGACTACGACAGTGCCACCAACACTACGACAATGCCACCACCCAAGACTACGACAGTACCACCATCCAAGACTACGACACCACCAAGACTACGACAGTACCATCATCCAAGACTACGACAGTGCCATCATCCAAGACTACGACAGTGCCACCACCCTGAACTATGACGCCACCACCCAAGACCATGACAGAGCCACCACCCAAGACTACGACAGTTCCACCATCCAGGCTACGACGGTGCCAAACACCCAAGACTACGACAGTGCCAACACCCAAGACTATGACAGTGCCAACACCCAAGACTACGACAGTACCATCATCCAAGACTACGACAGTGCCATCATCCAAGACTACGACAGTGCCACCACCCTAGACTATGACAGTGCCACCACCCAAGACCATGACAGAGCCACCACCCAAGACTACGACAGTTCCACCATCCAAGGCTACGACAGTGCCAACACTCCAAGACTACAAACGACTATGACAGTGCCAACACCCAAGACTACGAAGTGCTAACACCCAAAGACTACGAGTGCCACCACCCAAGACTACGACAGTGCCACCACCCAAGACTACGACAGTTTACCCACCACATAAACTACGACAATGCCACCACCCAAGACTACGACAGTACCACCATCCAAGACTACGACAGAGCCACCACCCAAGACTACGACAGTGCCATCATCCAAGACTACGACTGCCATCATCCAAGACTACGACAGTGCCACCACCCTGAACTATGACAGTGCCACCACCCAAGACTACGGCAGTTCCACCAACCAATGCTACGACAGTGCCAACACCCAAGACTACGACAGTGCCAACAACAAAGACTACGACACGTGCCCAACACCCAAGACTACGACGGTGCCAACACCCAAGACTACGACAGTGCCAACACTAAGACTACGGTGCCAACACCCAAGACTACGACAGTGCCAACACCCCAAGACTATGACAGTGCCACCACCCAAAACTACGACAGTGCCAACACCCAAGACTATGACAGTGCCAACACCCAAAACTACGACAGTGCCAACACCCAAGACTATGACAGTGCTACCACCCAAAACTACGACAGTGCCAACACCCAAGTCATGACAGTGCCAACACCCAAAACTACGACAGTGCCAACACCCAAGACTATGACAGTGCTACCACATTCACCTGAGGGTCATTATGAGTAACCGAGTCACTTACAGTATGTATTCTCACACACCGCTGACAGAACTACACAGGAAACATGCTGCAGGTATCGGCCAACATATTCTACGGTAAACAACACAACACGCTATTATTACTCACCGAGAGAGAGAGAGAGAGAGAGAGAGAGAGAGAGAGAGAGAGAGAGACTGCTGTTTTCCTGCAGGAGGCCAGAGATTGGGTCTCTAACGGGCAAACCTCCCGTCCCTGCGACCCATCCACCACCACTACTACTGCAACAACCATCACCACCATTCCTATCACACCTATTACTTCAACCACTATCACCACTAATACTACCACTATCACCACTAATACTACCACTATCACCACTAATACTACCACTATCACCACTGCTATACCATCACCATCATTAGGATAGTGGAGTGACACATGGGGTGTGTGTGGGAGAAGTGACACATGGTGTGTGTGTGTGTGGGAGGAGTGGACACATGGTGTGTGGGAGGAGGGACACATGGTGTGTGTGTGGGAGGAGGAGGACACATGGTGTGTGTGTGTGGGGGAGGACACATGGTGTGTGTGGGAGGAGGGACACATGGTGTGTGGGGAGGAGGAGTGACACATGGTGTGTGTGTGTGTGGGAGGAGTGACACATGGTGTGTGTGTGTGTGTGTGTGTGGGAGGAGGAGTGACACATGGTGTGTGTGTGTGTGTGTGTGTGTGTGTGTGTGTGGGAGGAGGGACATGGTGTGTGGGAGGAGGGACACATGGTGTGTGTGGGAGGAGTGACACATGGTGTGTTTGGGTGGAGTAGTGGCAGGAATACGTGTGGACTGTAGGGAAGGGTCCGCGCTGTCTGGCAGGGCTGTCATCTCGGGACCTCCTGCCTCTACAATATCTCGCACATGGCTGGCCGCCGCCGCCGCCGGGCCTTCGCCGCTACAGAAAATGATGGTGTCGCTATTTTTGGGTGTGTAGGCGGGTTTTGCCGGCGGCGCGGACGGCAACGGTGTGGGTAGAATGGCACCAACGGGTGTAGCAACAAGCACGGTCATGGCTTCTTCATCTGTCATGGCTTCAGACACGCTCCACAGCCTACCTAATGGTCCTTGCCTCGCGCTACACTGACTGTGGGCGGTACAAGCACCAGCAGCGGCGGCGAAAGTAACTAAGTACTCTTACATAAGCTGTGCCCTATGAGGTGGTTCAAGGACCAACATGTAGTGGTTCAGTGTGTCAATATATGCAGGGAGGAGCTACCCACTGGCCCAAGTGAGGGCGGGCACCAAGACGGGGGTGGCCCGGGCGCCGCCACACCCCAGCCTCCCTCCTCACACATAGACCACTTCACGATAACGTGTTGACTGCAAACTTACCCACCTGGAATAAAATTAAAGAGGACAGCACGACTGCCAAAACGTCCCCAACGACCCCCAACAATGCAGCGGTGCACCTTACGTAACGTGGAGGAGGAGAGTAGAGGTGGGGCGAGGAGAGTAGAGGTGGGGCGAGGAGAGTAGGGGACAGTAGGGGAGGGTCGAGGACACGCTCAGAGGCCCACAGGGGGCCCCTCCGCCTCACAACACAAGGCGGCCCACACATCCACCAGCACCAGCCTGTGCAATGTGAGCCAAGTCTAGATACCACAGCTTCTTCCTCACCATGACCAGTCAGCCCAACTGGCGGGTGTGAACACGGCCCTCACTCACACTGAGGAGGGTTGTGGGCACCTAGAGGGGTGGGGGAGAGTTAGCAATGAGGAAAACGGGAGTGTGAGACGTGCCAGTGGAGGCCGCTCGGGAGGCGCTCACCCACCAGCCTCCCGCCCCGCCCGACGACCAACGTGAAAATACTCCTCCCTGTAGTAATTCTCTGTAGCACACACATTCCCCAACGCTGGCGCTCTCCACACACACACACACACACACACACACACACACGACTACATCAACCACACCCGGTTTTGACCATTTCAATGCTGTTGGCGAGCTTTAACTTAAGGAGCAGGACTAACAAGAGTGCCACGATAGGTTTAGACTTGAGGCATAAGCGTGGTTGGCCGGGGACAACCGCGCTCTCTCACCACCACCCTGGCGAACCTCCTGACTTGGCAACACCAAACCAGTCAACAGAGACGACATACTGTACATGTGATCAGACATAAAGCAAGTTCATCACATTATGGGCACAACACCAGGGACAGACAGACATGCTCCTAGACATTACTGATAACAAAAGGGGAGAAATAAAAATACCAGAAACGGGAGAATAAAAAGAGAAAAATAATGAACTGCACATCGACTTTAATTTCGAGAGGATGAGCTAAAAGCATTACCGAGGCCATTACCCTGGTAAGAACAAAAGACTTGTGATAAAAAAAAAAGAAGGAAAATGATTGAGAGCCATGAGGTGAAGACACAAGTGGGCGGGTCATCACCTGAGTACAGTCGACACTAATCTCCCTATATGGCCCGTCTTACCTAACCTAACCCTGTATAAACTCTTCTCCTGTTTATGTAACGTTTGTCCCCACACAAGGCGAGGCGGTGAAGACTTAAGAGGGAAGGATTATGACGAGGAAGAGTTGACCAATATGTGGATGTCGGGACGTTGGTGGTGGGTGACCGTCTGTCCTAACCCACCCACCCAGTCACCACTCGACCCACCCACCCACTTACACAATACTTATAACACTCCCTCAATGGTGTCTTCCCCGATCATGTTAATAGCATCTGGCTCGATCTTTACTCTTGATAAACCAATTATTCTTCGTTAACTACAACACAACACAAACCATCAAGTGGTGCGTAAATAAATGCGACTGGATGATCTGGTTCGCTTCAGTCATCCACAGTGCGGTGAGTGAGGCAGGCTGACTCCTCCTCTACAGTACATTATGTGGGAGGAGAGGAGGAGGAGAGAGGGAATGGGGAGAAAGGAAGTGGGGAGGAGGGAGAGAGGGAG